CCCAAAAATATTTTCTGTAGATTTTTTGATCCAGAATCCAATCAGTGATCATATATGGCATTTAGTCATCATGTTTCAAGTTTTCTTTATGCTAGAAGTTTCCCTGCTTTTTTAAAAAAAATCTTCCATGACATCGACCATGATGAAGAGCCCAGGCCAGTTGTTTTGTGAAATGTCCTACAAATATGGATTTGTCTTTTTGCTTCCTCATTATAAGGTTCTGGTTTATGCTTTTATTATAGTAAGAATATATATACAAACATTTTTATCCACCATTTTTTAGCTTTTTATGCAGGTCCAAAATTTTAGTCAACGTTTTCTTGTTTGTATGATTTTGGTTTTTTTTTTTTTCCCTGCTACTCTATGGTTTGGTATAGGGTATTAATAATGACCACTTACCTGGAGAATAGTAAAACTCTTTAGACCACAAAAATATCACTGTAATAATATCTGGGAGGGGGAATCTGTTCCTCTAATATATATTTATATAAATATATAATACATTAAATATGTATACTTTTTAATATCTTTAGCAGTGTTCTTGTATGTTCTTTGTATGACTTAACATATTGTAATCAAGGGTACATTTTGTACTTTTTAATTAAGTTCTGTTGCAGTACATAATTCCGGGAGCCACTTTTAGAAAACACGTGGCCAGCCTTTTTATCATCCCTAAGCTGAAAGTTTGCTTTTGGAGTCTAAACACTGAATGTGCATTCAGCCTTTGGCTGTCCTTGTGCCAGAATGCTCCGCAGCTTAGATTGTGTATATTTTGTGTGAAGTGAGTGCAACGTGCAGAGATGGCATGCCTCACATGCCAGAGGAGCTATGCAAGCTTGCTGTGGAAAGCATGCTTCCCGTTTGTCAGGGCTTCCTGATAGGAGACCTGGTGACACAGTAGCCTTTAGGCAGAGCTCCTCGGGATGTGAAGGAAGCGCTGCTACAGGTTTCGTCGGGGGAAATCTGAGCCATTTCTCTGTGGACAGCTGTATTTCAAAGTTTGGACAAGTTGCCCTTGAATTTTGCATGGGCTGCCAGGGTGAGTGTTTTCATTTTGATTTGTTTATAGTCTTGCTTTTCTTCCTCCTAAGTCATCATGATCCTTTCTGGAAGTTTCATAGGACTGTGTCATTTTACGTTACCTAAAGTAGGACTTAAAGGATTCATCCTGATATATTTGTAATTGAACTCTTCTTTTTCTTTCTCTCTGCAGATTTCGTGGAAGTATAATACTTTGTCATTATGAGATGTCGTCTCTCGGTGCCTCCTTTGTGCAAATTAAATTTGATGACTTGCAGTTTTTTGAAAACTGCGGTGGAGGAAGTTTTGGGAGTGTTTATCGAGCCAAATGGATATCACAGGACAAGGAGGTGGCTGTAAAGAAGCTACTCAAAATAGAGAAAGAGGTAAGGTCTTTTCCTGCTGTCAGAAATGGCCCCGATAGCACTTATGTAAGCTTTTCCAGCCTGGAGTTAGAGGGTCACAGGGCTGCAAGGGACCTAGCAAGGCCTTTGGAGCTGATCCATGAGGCCGTTTCCCAATTTCCATTCTGGGAGCCCCATAAATAGAAATTATTGCAGCGTGTGCTTTAGGGTTGAGTTCTACTAGGGGTCATCTGAAGTGAGAGGATTTCTTTCCATGGCATGGAAAAGTGAAAAATTCTCTGGGCTCTCCGGGGCTCAGAGGTGAGATTTCAGACCTGCCCACTTTCCCTGGGTTCAGGCTTTTCTCTTCCCCAGGGCAGCCAAGAGGGGTCAGTAAAGGGTAACGTGTAAAATTTTCTTCCCATTTCCATGTTCTCTCCTTCAATCTGTAGACATCAGGAGTTGTCTTTTAAAAGATAAAAGGCACTGTTTTTCTACTGAAATGAGCAATACCAGCTTCTTGGATTTCACCTCTAGTTAAGGCTAACAGTGATGGGCTTTGTATAATAAAGAATTAATCAGTGCTAGACTGCTGCCCTTCTAGTAAAATCAGAAAAGGGTCTTGGCTTTCAGAGTCTGAGATTTGTGCTTGTCCTAGATGAGCTCAGAGCCCAGGAATGACACAACATGGTCCCCACGTTTAGTTTGATACCTCGAGAACAAAACTAGTTGCAGAGCTGACCTGCAGGGGTTCAGCACGTTGATAATTTTTAGTGACTACCCTCTGGAGCTTGCTCTGGTCATTTCTAGTTTTGTCCTATTTTGGCTAATTATTGTCCTTTTCAATATCTTTTTAAAGTGAACTTTTCCATAAATATTCTTTAATCTCTCCAAATGATTTCATTTTTTTCATTAACTGCTGCCAGCGAACCACAGCAATTGATTAGAGAAGGAGACCCAATGGCAGCACTTTGTGGATTTCCTCCCAGCAGTGCTGTATGTGTGATCACCAGCTGTGTTTACAACTGATGAAGCCAGGTCAGAAGGACTAAGATATCTCTGCCTCGGGGTATCTGTAGGCTTTGAAAAGCATTAAGAAGTGAGAGCTTTTAAAGCCCATGTGCGCATAAAACAGAAGGGTACTAGGTAGAAGAAATTTGCTCTCTCTTCCCTCCATTTCTTTATCAACATAATTTTTTAATAGTAGCCAAGCAATAAAACTATTTTAGCTAGTAAACTCATTAGGTCCTTTATAGGCAAGCATTATTGTCCCCATTTTATAGATTGGGAAGAAATGTATTAAGCTGCCCCAGGAGGGGCAAGTGAAATCCAGGAGGCCAGACCCCTGTTCCTTAGTTTTTAACTCTGAAACTTCTAATTGATCAAGTAAGAATAGAAAATAAACCAATTCCATCCATTTATAGTCAAGGAAGTTTATAAGTATGCTAATATTTTTAAGTTTTAGATCATGCAGCTTTAGTACAGTGAACATGTTCTTATATGATTGTCGGACGTGAAAAAGGCTTTATAAGACATGAAACAGATTTTGATAGGAAAACATTAATCACAAGCCATCCACTCCAACTAACTCCTTCCCCCAATCATATGTATATGATACCTTTCTATTTTTGAGAGAGCCGGGAAAATGACATAGGAAAGCACAGGGATGAAAGCAGGAATTGGAAACTGTCAAATCCTGCTTTTGTGTGTAGTTTAGAAATCCAGTTGATTATGATAAACTGCAAGAGGATAACTCAAACTTGAAAGCAGGCAAAACAAGAACTTCACTTCAGCGTGGGGCTTAGTCAGTGACTGTGAGTGAGAAAGAGACGTGGTAAATTATGGCAAAGCACCCCCACACGTACTGAATCAGCATGAACTTACGATGCAAAAAATTACGACGAGGGGGTTAACAGTTATTGGAAAGGAAATATGCATTTCTTGTGTAAGCTGGTGTTGTACTTTATGAAATGTGTATTGGCTTGCTGGATAGGTGTTTTCTAAGTGGTAAGATGAAGATAATGAGCTCTGGATTTTTTTGCAATTCGTAGATTCAATCCCGTGTCACTTGGTTGTTTTTGGCCAATGAGTTTTAGAAGCAATGGAACATTTAATAAAATGTTTGCAGTTCTTCATGTGGCTCTTTAAGAATGACTTGATATCTGACTAAATATATGTTATATGAACTTTGTGAAATGGGGAGAAAATATATACCAATCTCTTTAACTTATGTGAGAAGGGAAAGGAAGACTATTTACTTTCACTGTATTTGCAGGCCTTTGGTTTAGGGAGTGTGTGTTACTACCCTCTGTTTCAGCGGCTATATATTACTTTTCTGTCATTTTTTTGTTTAAGAAAAAAATGGCATTTACTTAAAATCTCAGTAGGTCTTTAAAACTTTATTTTTAAGAAACTTTTAAACCTAGAGAAAAATTACAAGAATAGTACCGTGAACCTAGTATATCTTTCCCCTAGACTCACCCTTTAGTTACAGGTTGCAAATTTGCTTTATATCTGTATATTATTGATTTATGTGTATTCATATTATTTTTGATGAACCATGAGTGTAAATTACAGATGCTGTTTATCTTTTTCCCTAAATACTTCAGGGATGAAGAACACAACCACAGTACAATTAACAAATTCAGGAAATTTAAGAATGATACAACAGTATTACTTATTATACAGACTATATTCAAATTTTTCCAGTTGTTCCCGTAATAGCTATTTATGACAATTTTTTTCCAATGCAGGATCCAATCTGGGATCTTATACTGCATTTAGTATGTGTTTAGTCTGCTCTAATCTGGAACAGTTTCTCTGCATGTCTTCTACGACTTTGACATTTTTGAAGAGTACAAAGGGGTACAAAGAGTACAGTTGTTTTGTAGAATACCCCTCATTTTGGGTTTACCTGATTTCCTACAGACTCTTGCGTAGTTTAAGTTTATGTAGTTTTGATGGGAATGCCAAATAGGTCATAGGTCTTAGGGCATCTTATGGGGAGTTGAATGTTGTCAGTTTGTCCTATCATTGGTGACGTTAATTTTGAACCCTTGGTTAACTGGGGATTACCCAGTTTCTCCACAGTAAAAATGTCTATTTTCCCTTTGTAATTAATAATTAAGCTATTGGTAGATACTTTGAGGCTATGTAAATATCTTCTCTCAACAAACATTTACTCAAGCGTTTTTTTTGCATCCATTGATGATTCTTGTTTGAATCAAATATTATTATAGTTTACTGTGAAGAAAGCAGAAAGTGCTAGCATAAATGCATTTCCCTCATTATTTCTTCTTCCTTCCTTCCTTTATTTATTCACTCATCCATTCATTTATTGACTGTAGACTTAAAGATTCTTTTTCAAATTTAAAATGTTTTAATCCATTATTCATTTTCATACTTAAATTGTTCCAAATTTAGTAAGTAAGAGCTCCTTTAAGCTGGCTCCTGTGTCCCTTTGATATATTCCCATCATTTTTTGATGATTTTCTCTCTCTGTGGCACAAAAAGATGTTCCAGGCTCATCTAGTTCCTGCCCCATTCCTGGAGTCATTTCTTTAAGAAGCCCTGAGCCAGTATACCTGATTTTGGAGTATGATATTTAGGAACTGAGATTTGGGTACTAGGATTGTTTATTTTAGATTTTTAGAAAGCCTTTGTCCTTTTGGCAGAAATGATGGTTATACAGAAATTTTATTTATGAAAGCATTTAATTTAAAATTTAAAATCATTCATCTAGTTAGCTAGGATCTATGATATGCTGCTATTAGAAATGTAAATTGGTAAACCTTTCTGGAGAAGAGGTTAGCAAAATGTACCAAAAATCTTAAAATGTTTATTTCCTTTGAGCCAGAAATCTTACTTCTGGGCCTTTATCCTAAGGAAATAGAGATGTACAGAAAGATGGATATGATAGGTGTTCATTTCAGACGTATAACAGTGAAGAATTGGAAACAACAAGTTATGCTACAGCTGTAGAATGGAATTCTGTTCCATTTCGGAGAATATTTAGAGAGCAAGGAAAATGCTCATAATACATTGCTAAGTGGCGAAAGCAAATTACAAAACATTATATATAATGGTATCTGCGTGGTGCTTTATTTTTCTTGTTCTGTACTTTCTTTTGTTTTCCATATTTTTCTATGATGACTTTATATTTCTTTTTTCCTCAACATTTGATTATGAAGATTTTCAAACATAAAAGTTGAAAGAGTTTTATAGTGAACCTTTATGTACCTACTGTCAGAGGTCTATCAACAATATAAATACTTGCTTTGTCACATGTATATCCAGCTGTCTATCCTTCCATCCATCAGTCCATTTTGATGCATTTCAAATAAGTTGCAGGCATCAGTATACTTCTCCTTAAATATGTCATCATGCATATTATTACTGAAGTTCAGGATGTGTTTGCATTTTTGTTTTCTTTTGAGGCAAAACTTACCTAAAGTTTTGAGAAATGTGCATACTGTATGACCCATATATTTACTTTTATAATCAGAAAAATTCAATTTAAAAAAGTATAAATGACAATCTATGTCACTTTCAAAGATATTCAAGTGAACTGAGTTTTGTAAACCTCTTTAGTATATCACATGACACTAGTTTTCCAGTCTCAATATGGGCCTCCAAAATGTTTAATGTTTACTTTTATATTAGTTTTCCATAACAATGCTACAGGACCTCAGTGGTAATTTAGCGTGTTTATATTATTCGCAGATTTATTTACAGTGCACTGTTTATTTCTGTTTAAAAAAATGTTTTCAATAGGAGAAAATAACATGATCTTAAGGATTATACCAAAGGTAAGAAAAGAAGCCATTATTATACCTTTTTGGGAAATTCCAGATGAGCTAGGATCAAACTGAACTGCTTAGGCAGAAATTTACGTGAGGAGTGGCGGTGGCACGGAGTGACATCGTGACCAGTGTCTTACAACTGCTGGCCCAGAGGAGAGCAGTACCTGCACAACAGAGGGTTCATCAGCTTTGCCACAGGAAATTTTAAAAAGGTTTAATCACAGCAGCTTAATTTTATTC